AGAGAGAGAGAGAGAGAGAGAGAGAGAGAGAGAGAGAGAGAGAATGAGAATCACTTCCTTTATCTCTGGTGTGTAACAAAATTACCAAATTCTTGAATCTTCATGGAGAAAAGCCTGGGAAAACTCTGGTGCTTTCTAACAGCCAGTCAGAGCCCTGAGGGGATTATAAGAATTATGTTCACTAAAATCTAGAAGTCCTGGAAAAATCGTACTAGCAAAAGGTTGACTCTTAAAGACCACTCATATCTCCTTTGCTTTCTTATATCCATTTTATAATCCCCTTTCTTTTAGTCCTTGCCCTTGCTGTCCCAAATTAGGCTGTACCTACATTTGGAGAGAACCCAAGGTCTTGAAAAGTTTGAGATAAATTTGAAGACTCAAATCTTCTCTGAGGTCTTTTATTCTCTCTCTCTTTTTTAAGTAATTCATCCTCTTAGTGTATTCATATACTGGCCTTCAGATGGAGGTATGTGAACTTCCACAAATACTTTAAGACAGTTGAAAATAAGGATAGCTTTTACAGACTCTTTTCCCAGGTCCTCAATGTCCACAAGTACTATTTACTTAACAAGTTCAACCTAAGAATTTCACTTTGTTTGTTTGCTACCTTGCTCTTCTTAATCACTGTTTGCCACTTAGTAAAATAATGAAATATACTTTTATCTTCTTAAATCCTTGGTGAATTGCTTTGAGGGGGTGTAAAATCTTTTTTTTTTTTTTTTCCAGCTTTTTGAGGTTAGGTTTTACTGTGCAGTTCTGGATAACCTTGAGCTTACTTTGTGGCCCATGCTGGTCTCGAACTTGCACTGATCCTTTTGCCTCAGCCTCTTTTTTCTGGTCTTGCCAGAGGAGCACAGCAGGCTTACCTCCAAGGGCAGCAGCAGGAAGGAGCTGAGCATGGTAGGCAGACCCAAGCCACACCTGGATGAACTAGAACTTCGTATATTGGTACATGAATTTTATTAGGTGTTAAGGTGACAACTGCACCAAAGATCTATACCAAAGGTCAGTGGACAGTATTATACAAAATAACAAAGAGAAGGAGAAAAATGTAATCTCAACACCCGAGCTCACTCAAAACAAGTGCAGAAGACACTAACGCAGCTGAAATGTCTTAATTAATAGCGTCTGAAGTAAAGAAAAACAGCAGAAAGGTATAGAGGAACTCAGAGCAGAATTAATCTCTGAAATAAAAAAAGAAATATCAGAATTAAGAGTATCTGAAATAAAGAATCAAATGCAGCAACATATAGAGGAAATCAAATCAGAAATAAACTCTGAAGTAAAAGAATTAACAACTACTTCTCAAGAAGACACTGATAAAAAAAATAGAGGAGATTAGAAAAGTGATGGATTCCTTGAATGAACAATACAGGAAAGAAATAGATCACATGAAGCAGAGTCAAAGAGACATGGAGGAACTTAAAATTTCAATCACAAGCTTGTAAAACTGTTTGAGTGAAAATGAAGACAGAGTTTCAGATCTTGAAGATGCTGTTGCACCTAATGAAAAGATAAGAAAAAATCCCTTAAAAACAACCAGGATGCAGGAAAAAATAATTCACCACCTGCAAGACAATGCAAAGATGAATAATGTAAGACTAATAGGCATCAATGAGAAAGAAGGAGTCAATACAAATCATATAAAAAGAATATGATCAGAAGTAATAGAACACTTCCCAAATATGAAGAAACAATCTGACATTGAGGTAACCGAAGCAAAAAGAACTCCAAATAACTTCAACGCAATTAAAAACACACCAAACATATAATAGTCAAGATCCCAGAAATGCAGCACAAGAACAATATACTGAAAGCTACTAGAGAAAAGAAACAGATCATATTTAAAGGAAAACACATCAGAATAATGGCCGACTTCTCTTCACAAACCATGAAGGCAAAAAGAGCATGGAGCAGAGTACTTCAAGTCCTCTATGAAAACAAATCCAGCCCAGACTACTATACCCTGCAAAACTCTCTTTCAAGTTTGATGGAGAAGTGAAATACATCCATGACAAAGAACAACTAAAGAATTTCATGATGACATAGCCAACCCTACACAGACTACTCAAAGATGTTCTGGAGAGAACAAAATGATCAGAACTCCATGAACAAGGACAGAAGGAATCATTAAATAGGACAAACACAGGAGAAAAAGGAAAAAGGAGTAAACAACAGCAGGTAAATAACATGTCAATTGTAAGTCTACACATGTGAATTATAACCATTAATGTAAATGGACTCATTCATGAATTAAAAGAAACAGACTGACACAGTGGATTAGGAAACAAAATTCAACAATATGCTGTACACAAGAAACACACTTAACTCAAAGAAATTCATAGACTGAAAGTCGAAGGATGGAAAACAATACTACACACCCCAGCACCTCAGAAAAAGGCAAGGGTAGCAATCCTGCTCTTAGACAGTCTCAACTTTAAACCAAGAATGATCAAACGAAATAAAGAAGGCCACTACATACTGGTTAGGGGAAAAATTCCAGAGGAAGATGTAACACTCACAAATGTATACTCAGCAAACATGGAAGCACCCAACTATATAAGACAAATCTTAGCGGACATGAAAAATCTAATATCCAATACCACAATCTTAACAGGAGACCTTTACACCCCATT